AGGGAGGGGGGGGAGGAGGAGGGGAGGAGAAGGGGAGGAGGGGGAGGGTAATAGGAGTGCACATGCTGCTCTTCTGGTGGTTAAGGCTGAGGGACGGAGGAGGGGTTTCCAGAAGGGACAGTACAAGGGAATCGAAGGAGGATGCGGTTTGGATGTTTTCAAAAGGGACTTAAAAGAAGGGAGGGAGGGAGACAGAAGAAATTTTGAAATGCTGGAGTCGTTACAACGGACTAAGAAAAGCACAGCAGCTGCTTTTGAGAAATCTCAAAAGAGATCCTCAAAAGAAACTCAGTTGTTGCAAGGGACTCAGAAATGCACAGCAGCTGGCATTGCAAGAAAGGTTTGTGTCAATGCACGAGGAGAAAGCATATTATGTGGCGAGGTATCATAGCATAGCATGGCATGGCATGTCATGGCATGGCATGGCATGGCATAGAAACGACCACTCACCATGGATGGGGTCCGGGACCTGATCGATGGTCACATGCATGGTGTGCCATGCCATGCATATCCATTACCCACGCCATACGCCATGCACACATGCCATGCCATAACATGCACCCATGCCATACCCCATGCACCCATGCCATACGCCATGCACACATGCCACGCCATTCCATGCACCCATGGCAAAAGCAGCAGCACAAGAACACAGAAGTTGGTCTCAAAAAGGGCCATGGCTACCAGAAGGAATGAGCAACTAACATGGAATCGAATATTCCATTCTATGTGAATTATTATTGAATCTAGGGGAGAGCAGAGCACCATGAGAAAGAGAAAGATATCCCTTAGAATAGCTGATTTAGATTTTCTCAAATTTTAAAAAATTACACGAATGGGAATTACAGCAGCCAACATGCCACGTCACCACAAAATGCCACCTCACAACACCTGAATTTCATCCTTGAATGTCATGCTGGCTCCTGAAATGTCGATATAAATGCGCTGAACAACGGGTGGGACTGCAAAAATGCGATTACAAGGAAGGTGGATACGTTAGTGAAGTGATCATGATGGTACAAGGAGTAATAAGTGTGGAAAACATGAATGAAATTAATCAACCCTTACCTCTAAATTACTCACATACTCACTTCCTCCATCCCATACCCTGATTTTCGCCAACCCTTGCCCCGTACTTAGTCCATTCATTCTCAGAACTGCATACTTCTTCTTTCTTTTTTGAAGTGCTGATTACCCCAGCCCAGAAATGTCATAGTATTTTCCAGCACTCAGCTCACCATAGGTGCTTTCTCTTCGCACTTGCTCCACCTTACGCATCTGAAAGAACAATGCTCACTTGCACGCATGCACACACATACATGGCCAAACACGCAGACATGCAGACATGCACAAATTCGCACACACACACACACACACATGCACACGAATGGACATATTTCCATATGCTAAACAGAAGCACACATAACAAAACAGGCCAAAACTCAAAATCCTATCTAAAAGCTGACTTATGAATCTAGTCAAAAGCCACCTCTGTCCCCACTTACTCATGGATTGGTATTACACAAGCCTATCTTGAAAACTCCCACGGTCCATCCCTCCTCCCCACCCACTCCTCCCATTTCTCATCCCCATCCTTCACCCCCTCCCATCCCTCCCATCCCTCCTCCCCTCCAATCCCTCACATCAGTCTCGGGTGAAAATCTCCCCAGTCCCCGCAGTAGCAGAGGGGAGGGCTCTAGAGAGAAGGGTGAATCCCTCTTCCCCCTTTATCCTCTCCTCATCCCCCCTTATCCTCTCCTCATCCCCCCTTATCCTCTCCTCATCCCCCCTTATCCTCTCCTCATCCCCCCTTATCCTCTCCTCATCCCCCCTTATCCCCCATCCCCTCCCATCCCATCCATCCGCCCTTGCTCCCTTCCCCCTCTTTCCCCTCCCATCGCTCACATCAGTCTCGGGTGTAAAGCTACCCAGGCCCCGCAGCAGCAGAGGGGAGGGCTCCAGAGAGGGGTGGACCAGCAGAGGTTCGGCTGGCAGGGAAGGGGAGGGAGATAGGGAACGGGGACGTGAAAGGGTGGAAAGGGGTGGAACAATGGAGGCACTGGAATGGGTGGAAACGGCACTGAATTGGAACCGACAGGCCTCGCAGCAGCAGAGGGGAGGGCTGCAGAGGGTCGGCTGGTGGGGGAGAGGAGAGAGGGGGAGGAGGAGAGGTGAGGAGGGGGAGGGGGAGGAGGGAGGGTGCGGGGGGTAAGGGCAAAGGAAGGGGGAGGATACATGGAGGCACGCAGTGCTTGGAGTGATTGTTGGAGCCTATTGGCCAAGCAGCGTAGTGGATTACCCTGGCAGTGGGTGAACTGTAGAGGGTCCGTTGGAGATTGACCGTACCTGCGAGCCACGCGCCCGAGATTCCGCCGTCTTCCCCCCTCCGCGCCATCAGCGCAACCCCCAGAAGCGCCAGCAGCGCGCACGCGCATCCCAGGACTGTGCGCGCCACTGCAATCCGCTTCCGCCGCTTCCTTCCGCCACCCGCTCCCCTTCCGCCGTGCGTTCCCCTTCCGCCGCTCGCGCCCCTTACCGCGGGCGCTGCGCTATTCTCCGCCGCTGACAGCTCAGCGCGGCCCCATCTTCCCCCTCCGCTTCCCCCCACTTTCTCCGCCTCTGGACATTCCGCTCCTTGCCCCGGCGCCGCTGGTCCTTCTACTGGTCTCGCCACTTGCAGCTCTTCTCCGCGCGGCCCCGCGATTCCCGCCGATGGTTCCGCCGCATCCCTCGCTCGGACGTGCGCGGGGAAAAGTGATTGGTGCAGAGGCGGGTTTTCAGGGTCGTCGTGAGTCCTGCCACTCATGCGCGCGGCGAAGAAAGGAGTTTGGCGTATCTGTAGGTCCAAGTGCGACGTGGGCGATGCGTGACATGTAACTCCGCGCAGAGAAACACAAACCTGACTGTAATTTCGCTAACGAGTACGATTCGATAAACATGTAGTGTTGTGCCGTTGACTATCGTAACCAGGATAAAAAAAAGGGAGGGGTGAAGTTTGGGTGGACACTTGTATCCTCGCCACAATCCTTTCCAGCATTGCATAAGAGAAAGAGGAGACAAAAATGAAATTCTAGTATGAAGTGGTCTGTTTTTCTTCTCGTCAAGTCGAAACTGACCCATCGCTCGCGGCCCGTCTGGATATGCCTGCGCTTTCATTTGGGTCAACTACACCTAGCCCGCGCCAATTTCACACCCCGTCACTTTTGGGTTAAAGCCTATTTGAACCTTTTTTTGCTTTGGGGATCAGACACCCAAGGAACTAGAGGCTATCCGTGGCATTGTAAAGTGTCGATGTTGTGAAATTGCGACTTTGTGACCGCAACGTAAAGACTGGATCTTCCGCTGCGACCATGTTTCCATTTTCCCGCTGACTCTTAAGCGGAGTGTTAATCGTTTAAGCCCAAAACCTGAATTACCAAAAAAAAAAACAAACAAACAAACAAACAAACTGTGCATAGTTTGCCTACCAAACCCATAGTTGGCCTCCCGAGCCAGGCTGGTTACCGGAAAAGATCGCACACAAAAAAAGACTGAGTCGTGCAGCAGAACAGGTTTGGTTGGCGAGAGTCCCAACACCTTTCTCAAGGAACAACCGCTCAAAGTGTGCACAGTTTCCGTCTGGCGAGCTGGCCTGTGTTCCGAAATCTAGGGCGAGACAAACCTTTCTAGCAGATTTCGGAACAGTGTGGCAGCCGAGCCACCCAAAATGGGGATTCGATTTGGCAGAAGGGACAAATGTCAGTTGCGCACAGTTGGTAAGTTGCCCAGTACAGTAGTTGGCATGAAAACTTGTGACACGTAGGTGAATGTGGGGAAGAGTTATGTGTTGTTTCTATAATTCCCCTGTCTGAGGCACGGAGGGGCGGAAAGTGCCCGCTGCTGGCACTGTAGCTCCCTAGAAAGCGCGGGGTCCCTAGTAGTACCCCTGCGAAAGCTACTTACCCTAATTCAGGTCGTGCTTTTCCTACTACCCGTAGATTGTTCCAAGAGTCCGGGAAAAAAAGCGAACATAGCATAGGCCACGATCACTTTCACGAATATTACGGGACCCTTAGAAATCCAGGCGTATCTATCCTACGACCAAAATAGAAACCCCGAACGGATTATTGGTCGTGGCTTATCGGCATGACAGCAACTATGTTAGTGGCGTATCACGTTTTCGATCTCGCTCGCCCTGGCATCGCAACCCCGCGGATATCGCATTTAGGCCCTATCGCCTTCCGCGTTCCATACGCTTCCCCCCATCGTCTCTCACACACTCCCCCACCCACACCCACGCTTCCCCTCACCGTCGCCCGAGCTCTTCCCCACCGTCGCTCACGCTTCCCCTTACCGCCGCTCACACTTCCTCCTGCCTTCACCAACGCTTCCCCACATCGTCGCTCACGCCTTCCCCCACCTTCCCTCACGCTTCCCCGCTCATCGCCTACGGTTCCTCCCACCGTCACTTACGCTTCCCCCCACCGTCGCTCACGCTTCCCCCCACCGTCGCTCACGCTTCCCCCCACCGTCGCTCACGCTTCCCCCCACCGTCGCTCACGCTTCCCCCCATCGTCGCTCACGCTTCCCCCCACCGTCGCCCACGCTTTCCCCCACCGTCGCCCACGCTCCCCCCCACATCACCCACGCTTCCCCCCACCGTCGCCCACGCTTCCCCCCACCGTCGCCCACGCTTCCCCCCACCGTCGCCCACGCTTCCCCTCTCATCGTCCTCCCTGTCGCCTGGAAATGAGCCTCCCCGTCGACCTCCCTTCTCTCCCACCTCTCTCCACGTCGTCATCAGTCCCCTGCCTATCACGTTCCACCTCTTCATCACCATTGCTTCTCCACCCACGCCGCCCACCCTCTCATCCGTTCCTATCGTCTTTAGGTTCGTTGTTGCTTCCCTTCCCATTGCCGCATTTGGTCGCTCTCGCTCTCCCCATTGCCACCTTCTCACTCCTACCACCCCATCCTTGCACCCTCCTTTCCTTCTCTCATTCTCCCTCCCTCCCTGCCTCTCACCCACCCTGGCCGCGGACGTATGGCGGGCAGGTCTCGAGCGCTGGGGATGGGGTCGTGACTCGATCGCGGCGGGATGTCACAGGGTGCATCAGCAGCACCCACCCTTCTCTCTCTTGCACCAACCCCGCACGCATGGCAGGTGCTGCTGCGGCTTTGGAGCAGAGCGCTGGGCGCACAGCCGGGGCAGCACGTGCAGTCGGGCAGCAAGGAGCGCAGTGCTTCAGATGACAGGGGGCAGGGGGCAGGGGAGCATATTGCCCACGCTTCCCCCCACCGCCACCGTCGCCCACGCTTCCCCCCACCGCCACCGTCGCCCATGCTTCCCCCCATCGCCACCGTCGCCCACGCTTCCCCCCACCGCCACTGTCGCCCACCGCCAGTGGCCAGCAGCACCCTTCCGTCGCATACACGTTCATTTCCCCTTCCCTCATCTCCCCATTCCTCATCTCCCCTTCCCTCATCTCCCCATTCCTCATCTCCCCATCCCTCATCTCCCCATTCCTCATCTCCCCTTCCCTCATCTCCCCATCCCTGACCTCCCCATCCCTCTCCTCCCCAGCCCTCTCCTCCCCATCCCACACCTCCCCATCCCTCATCTCCTCATCCCTCATCTCCCCATCCCTCATCTCCCCAATCCGCCTCACCCCATTCCGCCCCACCCCGTTCCGCCCCACCCCATTCCGCCCCACCCCATTCCGCCCCACCCCATTCCGCCCCACCCCTTTCTGCCCCACCCCATTCCGCCCCACCCCGTTCCGCCCCACCCCATTCCGCCCCACCCCGTTCCGCCCCACCCCATTCCGCCCCACCCCGTTCTGCCCCGCCCCATTCCGCCCCACCCCTTTCTGCCCCACCCCATTCCGCCCCACCCCTTTCCGCCCCACCCCATTCCGCCCCACCCCTTTCTGCCCCACCCCATTCCGCCCCACCCCTTTCTGCCCCACCCCATTCCGCCCCACCCCTTTCTGCCCCACCCCATTCCGCCCCACCCCATTCCGCCCCACCCCATTCTGCCCCACCCCTTTCTGCCCCACCCCATTCCGCCCCACCCCTTTCTGCCCCACCCCATTCCTCGTTTCCTCTTTTCCTCGTTTCCTCATCCCTCCTTTCCCGATCCCATCATTCCTCTGCCAAGTTTCACCCTCCTTCCCACCCTCCTTCCCAGCCTCTCTTCCTCCCCTCCCTTCTGCTTCTCCCCCAAGCATCCTCCCTACCTCCCTTCCTCCCATCATCACTTCCTTCCTTCATTCCAGCATTCCTCACTTCCTCCCTTCCTCCGTTCCTCCTTTCCTTATTTGCCAGTTGTCATTCTTTTGCATGCCTGCTTCCCTTATACTTCAGCCACGTCACATCTGACTTCTGGGTTTGTGATGTGCTGGCTGTCTGATAGTAACACAACGTATAGCCATGCCATGTATTGGATATTTTTTTATAATACAGGATTATGAGCCTCAGAGCAGTCATACACATGACCAATACCAAGGAGTTCAACAATTAATACATTACAGTATCTGTAAAGTAAGGGGAATCACGAGACTCGAGAAGGGAACAAAGCTTGGGGGTGTGTGTAATGTTGCTTCCCGGTTTTGTCTGCTATACTGCAAGCAATAAACCAGGCCATGGTAAAGCCACATCTGGTCCTGGGCACCTGTAAATGCATTGGGGGGTATGTGGGTGAGTGAAGGGGGGAAGACAGTAAACGGAATGAGCAGAGGGGAAGAGAAGAAGCAGCGGGGGACAGATTGAACAGAGGGGAAGAGAGGAAGCATGGGGGAACAGAGTGAGCAGAAGTAAAGAGAGTGAGCAAGGGGGAAGAGAGTGAGAAGAGAGAAGGGGAGGGAGCAAGGGTGAAACAGAGGGAGCAAGGGTGAGCAGGGAAGGCGATGGGGGGAAGCAGGGAAGGAGATGGGGGGAAGCAGGGAAGGGGATGGGTGGGGGGAAGCAGGGAAGGAGATGGGGGGAAGCAGGAAAGGGGATGGGGGGAAGCAGGGAAGGGGATGGGGGGGAGCAGGGAAGGGGATGGGGGGATGCTGGGAGGGGGACGGGGGAAGGAGGGAAGGGGACGGGGGGAAGCAGGGAAGGGGAAGGGGGAAAGCAGGGAAGGGGATGGGGGGGAGCAGGGAAGGGGGTGAGGGAAGCAGGGAAGGGGATGGGGGGAGGCAGGGGAGGGGACGGGGGGAAGGAGGGAAGGGGACGGGGGGAAGCAGGGAAGGGGATGGGGGGAGGCAGGGGAGGGGACGGGGGGAAGCAGGGAAGGGGATGGGGGGAGCAAGTCGGAGGATGGGGGAAAGCAGCGCAGGGGATACGGGGAAACAAGGAAGAAGGGAAGGGTGTATGTGCGGGTTGGAAAGGGGGCGTGACAAGTGTGCGAGATGGGAAGGGAGAAGGGAGGGATGGCGAGGGCAACGAGGAGTGGAAGGGAGGGCGATGGGGGGAGAGAGAGAGACGGGGATTGCGAGGGGACGAGCGGGAGCGAAGGTGACGAGCAGCAGGGAGGGCGATGAGACGAAGGGGGGCAACGGGCGGAAGGGAGGGAAAGAGAGCGTGAAGGGGGAAAGAGAGTGATCAGGGGGAAAGAGAGTGAGCAGGGGGGGAAGAGAGTGAGCAGGGGGGGAGAGAGTGAGTATAGGAGTGAGCCGGGAAAACAGGGGCGAGCAGAGGGGGTAAGAGAGCGTGAAGGGGGAAAATGGGTGAGAAATGGGGAGAGTGGGGTTAGAACAAGGGGAGTGAGCAGAGGGAAAGAGAATGAGCAGGGGAAAGAGATTGAGGAGGGGGGAAGCGAGTGATCAGGGGGAAAGAGAGTGAGCAGGGGGAAAGAGAGTGAACAAGAGAGAGTGAAAGGCAATGGGAGGGGAAGTGAAGGTGACGGGTGGGGAAGCGAGTGTGACGGGCGGGAAAGCGAGTGCGGCAGGCGTGGAAGGCGACGGGAGGGGGAATCGAAGGCATCGGGGGGGAGAAGTGAAGGCGACGGGAGGGGGAAATGAAGGCGACGGGAGGGGAAGTGAGGGCGACGGGAGGGGGAAATGAAGGCGACGGGAGGGGAAAGTGAAGGCGACGGGAGGGGGAAATGAAGGCGACGGGAGGGGAAGTGAGGGCGACGGGAGGGGGAAATGAAGGCGACGAGAGGGGGAAGTGAGGGCCACGGGAGGGGGAAATGAAGGCGACGGAAGAGGGGGGGGAGGGGGGGAGTGAAGGCGACGGGGGGGAAGTGAAGGCGACGGGCGGAGCGAAGGCGACGGGCGGAGCGAAGGCGACGGGCACGCGATGAGCTGCGGAAGCGAGGGCGACGACGCGGGCGAAAGAGAGCGGAAGCGTGGGAAAGAAAAGCGAGGGTGAGGGGAGGGTCACGTTTGGGCGAACGGTTGCGATTCGATTTTCGCCGCGAGATTACGCTAGTTGCACAATAACCTGCATTTCGACACAATAATCTTCATCCAGCGGACACTAGCTTTGCGCATCATCATCGAAATCCGCGCCACCCACATCGTATGGCGCATCTGATCCCTTTTGAGTGAACGACGATGCCCTGCCCTGTCTACAGGTATGGTCTATACCTAATACTCTGCGTGCTATCTCAAACTGTGGACAGTTTGGTATGCTCGCGCATTTCTGGTTGTGGGAAGAACCCCACCCATCATGGGAAGCGAGAAACTTTTCTCGCAAATTGGTTTCGCGAGTGAAAGTCTCTCGCAACCCAACCTAACCTCTCCGTGCCTGCCTCCCGAACCTAATTTTTAGCGTTGACTTCCGTTGAGTAATTCAGGTCTTGGGCTTTAATTTCCTAAAGCCAGACTGTTCGAAACAACCTTCAATTTCCGGGTAAATCAGGAACGAATACACAGGGGTGTAAAATTGGAGGGCGTGAAAATACCGCGGACCATGTGTACTCACAAACAAGGCTCGACGTGAACGTCGTAAGGGTTGCGTAGAATTTAACACCGAACACAACATTAATATTATCGTATGGGAAAATGTACTACGTTAGATTTACATAGGCCATGCAATACTTTCTTCTCTTTATCGGCAACAAAATACCATAGGTACTACTCCAGATTGTTGAGTGGGTAGTGATCATTCTAGAATATGATTTTATCAATAGTAAGTTAACAATGTTACATTATACAAACTAGTGATTTTGCTATAGAGGGGTTGTGACAGTCGAGTTGTTCTGCACTCATTATGCACATGAAATGTGTCAGCTTTATATTGAGTTGGAAATTTCAAGTGTGTGTCTTCACGTGACGCCCCCTTCAATTCAATTTCAGGTGTTTTCGATTTTGAAGTGCCCAGATTTTTATTTCGTTCTCCAGTAGGCACATGACGTTTCATGTCTGATGATTTTGCCTTGGTACCTAGGCTTTTCGTTTTGTACTGGTTCAAACAGAAATTTTGTTTTGGACCAGCCCCGAAAGTGTCTAGCCGAAGTGCATCGCCGTCGTGTTGCTTTTCTCAAAACAAATTCGAGTTTCCTGCTTCAGACGCTCATCTTTCAGTCACTCACCTTTCAGTCGCTCTTCTTCATCTTCCAGTTTCTAGTCTGTAGTACCTAACCCATTGACTTGCATTGTCTTAGTACCACGTACAGCCGTCGAATCTTCTCCCCGCCGCCCCTCCTCCCCATCGCTTTTCCTCATCGTCGCCCCTCCTCCCCGTCGCGTTTCCTCGTCATCGCGCCTCCTCCCTGTCGCATTTCCTCCCCGTTTACCCCGCCTCCGGATCGCATTTACTCCCCGTCGAACTCCTCCCAATCGCGTTTCCTCCTCTTCGCGCCTCCTCCCCGTCGACTCTCATCCCCCACGCCTCCCCCACTTTCGCCTCCCCCACCGTCGCCGCCCCCACTGTCGCCTTCCCCACCGTCGCCTCTCCTCCCCGTCACTCCCCCACCGTCGCCTCTCCTCCCCGTCACTCCCCCATCGTCGCCTCTCCTCCCCGTCACTCCCTCACCGTCGCCTCTCCTCCCCGTCACTCCCCCACCGTCGCCTCTCCTCCCCGTCACTCCCCCACCGCCGCCTCTCCTCCCCGTCACTCCCCCGCCGTCGCCTCTCCTCCCCGTCACTCCCCCACCGTCGCCTCTCCTCCCCGTCACTCCCCCACCGTCGCCTCTCCTCCCCGTCACTCCCCCACCGTCGCCTCTCCTCCCCGTCACTCCCCCACTGTCGCCTCTCCTCCCTGTCACTCCCCCACCGTCGCCTTCCCTACCGTCGCCTTTCGTGCCCGTCGCCTCCCTCGCCGCCGCTCCTCCCCCGTCGTCGCTCCTCCCCGTCGATTCCCCCACCGTCGCTCCTCCCCGTCATTTCCCCCACCGTCACTCCTCCCCGTCGTTTCCCCCACCGTCACTCCTCCCCGTCGTTTCCCCCACCGTCGCTCCTCCCCGTTGTTTCCCTCACCGTCGCTCCTCCCCGTCGTTTCCCCCACCGTCTCTCCTCCCCGTCGCCTCTCCTCTCCATCGCCCCCCCACTGTCGCCTCTCATCCCCGACGCTTCCGCCCCTTCGCGCATCCTCTCCGTCGCCTCTCCTCCGCATCGCGTATCATTCACGATGGGTGAGTGCGCGGGTGAGAGTGAGTGGAGGGGTGAGTGTGTGTGAGTGCGGGGGTGAGTGTGAGTGCAGAGGTGAGAGTGAGTGCGGAGGTGAGTGTGACTGCTCGGGTGAGTGTGAGTGTGCAGGTGAATGTGAGTGCGTGGGTGAGTGTGGGTGCGGGGGTGAGTGTGAGTGCGTAGGTGAGTGTGGGTGCGCGGGTCAGTGTGGGTGGGGGGTTGAGTGTAAGTGAGGGAGTGCGTGAGAGAGAGCACGTGAGCGAGCACGTGAGAGAGCGCATGGGAGAGCGCACGTGAGAGAGTGCGTGAGAGAGCGCATGAGAGAGCCCATGAGAGAGCGCGTGCGTGTGAGAGTGCGCGCGAGGGAGCACGTGAGGGAGCGCGTGAGGGAGCGCGTGAGAGCGCGTGACAGAGCGCATGAGTGAGTGCGTGAGAGAGAGCCCATGAGAAAGCGCATGAGAGAGCGCATGAGAGAGCGCGTGAGAGAGCGCGTGAGAGAGCGCGTGAGGGAGCGCGTGAGAGAGCGCATGAGAGAGCGCATTAGAGGACATGTGAGTGAGTGTGTGAGAGAGAGTACGTGAGAGAGCGCGTGAGAGTGCAAGTGAGAGCGCGTGAGAGAGCCCATGAGAGAGCGCGTGAGAGAGTGCGTGAGAGAGCCCATGAGAGAGCGCGTGCGCGTGAGAATGCGCGTGAGAGTGCGCGTGAGGGAGTGCGTGAGAGAGCGCGTGAGAGTGAGCGTGAGAGAGCGCGTGAGAGAGCGCGTGAGAGAGCGCACGTGAGAGTGTTAGAATCTAGCAGCAGTAATGAATGCACTATGGAAGAGTTGGGTACAAGTATGAAACCCTAAACGGGGCTGTACCCCATATTGGCTACCCCACTACAGCCTACAGACATATAACATGCATATACTTTGACAGAGCGAGCGTGTGAGAGAGCGCGTGAGAGGGGCCATGAGAGAGCGCGTGCGCGTGAGAGTGCGCGTGAGAGTGCGCGTGAGGGAGCACGTGAGAGAGCGCGTGAGAGAGCGCATGAGTGAGTGCATGAGAGAGCGCGTGAGAGAGCGCGTGAGAGAGCGCGTGAGAGAGCGCGTGAGAGAGTGTGTGAGAGAGCGCATGAGTGAGTGCGTGAGAGAGAGCACGTGAGAAAGCGCATGAGAGAGCGCGTGAGAGAGCGCGTGAGAGACGCATAAAAGAGCGCGTGAGAGAGTGCGTGAGAGAGCGCGTGAGAGAGCGCGTGAGCGAGCGCGTGAGCGAGCGCGTGAGAGAGCGCGTGAGAGACCGCGTGAGAGAGCGCATGAGAGAGCGTGTGAGAGAGCGCATTAGAGAGCATGTGAGTGAGTGCGTGAGAGAGAGCACGTAAGAGAGCGCGTGAGAGTGCGAGTGAGAGAGCGCGTGGGAGTGCGAGTGGGAGAGCGCGTGAGAGTGCGCGTGAGAGAGCGCGTGAGAGAGCACGTGAGAGAGCGCGTGAGAGAGCCCATGAGAGAGCGCGTGCGAGTGAGAGTGCGCGCGAGGGAGCGCGTGAGGGTGAGCGTGAGAGAGCGCGTGAGAGAGCGTGTGAGAGTTCGCGTGAGAGAGCGTGAGAGAGCGTGAGAGAGCGCATGAGTGAGTGCGTGAGAGAGCGCGTGAGAGAGCGCATGAGATGGCGCATGAGCACGCTAGGACGTAAGCTCTAGCATCTATTCTGCTGGTGCTTGGGCAATTGGGGCTACTTATGCAAACGAGTGTCGCTTTCTGCACTGGCGCTCAAAGTGCCGGCTTCTAAGGTGTTGGCGCCTCAGACGCTTGTCTAGGCTGCTGGCAACTATTGAGCTAGTGCCTAGCACGCTCGCGCAGCGGGCTCTAACGCTTGGGCGCTGGCACCTAGTGTTCTGAGCCCTGTGGAGCTCGTACCTGAAGCGCTCATGGCCTTGGACACCTATCCACCAACCCTGGGACGCTTACTGCTTAAAGCGGGCGGGCGCGTTGCCGCGCGCTGGCGCCTTTCTGGAGTTCATCGGTCAGCGCCTCGCAGCGCACTCGTGCACTGCATTGCACTGGCGCCTTTCTGCTATGCGTTGACGCCTTGTGCAATGCATGTGAGGGAGGCTGATTTGTATTTCTTGCTTGGCCTCCTGTAAGAGCACGTGTGCTGCAGTATCCTGTTTTTGCTTTCTTGTGCACACTGTGTAAACATATACTGTTTTTTGTGTAAGGTGTGTTTTGCTTTCTTTGTTCTTGCTTTCTTGTGCAGGGAGTGTGTGCGTTTACTTTCATGTTTTAACTTTGTGCAGGGCGTGTGTGTGTTGACTTCCCTGTTTTGGCTTTGTGCAGGGCGTGTGTGTGTTGACTTCCCTGTTTTATCTTTGTGCAGGGCGTGTGTGTGTTGACCTCCCTGTTTTTGCCTGGGCGTGTGCGTGTTGACTTCTCTGACTTTGCTTTGTGCAGGCCGCGTGCGTGAGCTGAGAAGGGAGATGAGGGAAGGAGGGAGGGAGGGAGGGTTATAGGGAGGGTATGGTGGGATAGGCTAGCAATTATTTATGCATTTCTGAATTTTATTCATGACGGCTGTGTGTTCATAAAGGTATCTGTATCTATCTGTGCTTGTTCGCGTGCGTTTTCATGTCTGTTCGTTGTGTTTGTTTCACTGTGGGGTTGCACTTCGATGCGTTCACAACCGTTACGTGGTGTTGTATAATTGTACGTGCGTTTGCATTCGTGTTTGTGGGATGTATGTTTCAAAGTACGGTGTTACTGCGTGTCATATTTGCAATTAGAGGTTGTTAATCGTCTTGGGGGCAGCGTGTTTTCGCTGTTTCAACGACCCCATCAACCGCTGTTGCTACACGATGCATTTTAACATTCACTTCGAAGCATCCACTCCACCTCATACATTGTTGTTTATTTGTACAATTGCATTCGTTCATGTTGATGCCAGAATATTATGCTCGGCCGTACGATCCGCCGTATTTATCGACGAGATTGGGACGGTCGAGCAAGTTCATGGTTCAACATGATACGTACGTGCGTTCCTTTATTTGGTTTTACATATGGGGATCCCATTCAAGAGTGTTTTTTATCCACTATTTGAGGCATCCGTTTGAACACAGTTTCAAAACATTCAAACGGGTGCCCCAAAAAGTGCGTAAATATCACTCTTCAAATGATATCCCCAAAATGTCAAACCAAATATATAGGGTTGCTACGCAACCCAAAAAGGGAATCAAATTGCTGCCTCCCGCAGCATTTGCGCATGGCGCCAAGAAGCCGCAAACATTCCTCTGATTGGTGCAATTCGCATGTTACAGAAATTATCCGCATGGCACAGTCTTGCTTTCGGGATGAGGGGCAGCTACAGATTTTTTTTCTGTTGTGCAAAATCACATTCCCTTCCCACGAGGGTACCTGAAGAGCCAATCGACATCGCCCACACTCTCTGAACTACTACGATTGGTTACCAGGCCCCTGCGGTTCACGATTTTTTGCGAGCAGTTGTCAGCTTGACATGGGTCACTCGGGTCCCTCAGCGAAACGTCTATTCCAAGCTGCGATAAGGGCGCGGTGCATTCGATGCACTTTGACAGAGTTCGAGCCCCAACCACATTTCAACGCGGATTAGAACTTAGTAAACGTATTTAACCATGTAGAACCTTTCTGCGAGTTGAATCTTTTCAGAACTTCGACTCTAATGTACGACGCCCTAAAGTAACATCGACGCCCTAGCCAAAAGGGATGTTGGTAAATTCTGACGGAGGGACTGGAGCAGGATTTCGTCCCCACGCTCCCAGAGTATGCATTCTTGCAGCAGCGATGCCGCCGCCATGGTATTCTGGTCGCTTGCCTTGAAGATCTTATCTCATGTGCCCTACCTCCTCAGTCAACAAATAACCTACTGTACTCCCCGTCTCTCGCCGCACGCTCTAAGATCCACATTCCTGGGTCACGTGATTAAAAGCACGATTGCCACTTATTCTCACGTTCCTCGTGCCTTGAAATCCGGCCAACGAGTAGAATCCCTTTTCCAGCTTCTTACCATGTCATTTTATGCGCAAGTTACGACTTCGCACGGGGCAAACGTGGTGTAGGGAATACCGAGTCCAGCAGAGCGTGTGTGTAAAAACCGGATTCCCCTCACCACCGCAACGGACGCACCCTTGGGCCCACATTCATCCTATTGCAAAGCAACAGTAGAGTTTGCCCCTCAGGCTATCACCACGCGACTCGTCGCCTATTCTTAGTGTACACTGTACCGAACTCACGAAGGATGTGTGGGCCCCCAAGGAGATGATTGGGTCAAAAATTGCGAAGGCAGAAGTATCGTAGTCTGATCGGATTTTCCTGACAATGCCACACAGACTGTATTTCACGGCACCAGCTGTCGGCTCTCAGACTGAGGTTTACCAGCGAGGTTGCCTTGCCTCGTCGCCACTGTCTTCTCGAGGACTCCACTGGCCGTCATTGGCGCAAATGGAGTACACTACTTGTACAGCGAAAACAATATCGAGTCGCAGTCAGTCGCTGCTTATGCTTCTACGAGTACCACTCTCCTGCCAGCTTTGCAATTCGAACATCACTAACGCGTCTCAGCCCGACTACTGCTATCCCTGATTTCAACATCTGGACCACGCACGGAGGATCACGCAAGCACGCTTGCGACCGGCGAGACGCCATTATAGTACCTGCACCAGCTTTCCCAGAGCGCGTCGTAGAGGTACTACTGACCAGCGTGTCTTGCGGGCATGAGCGCCATCGCAGTATCGCACGGAAGCCGCCACGCGCTTCGTCACTTCGACTCTGCAATGGTAGATCTTTCGTCAGAAATGCCTCACCTAGTCGAAGCCGTCGGGAGGGCTTCGCCGAACCTTCCAATCGACGCTCCGGCGGTGGTCGGAACCGCCGGTGAGACCGCAACGGCCCCGCCGTCCCCGCCGCATTTCGCGGATCTTTACACCTCCCCGCAAGCCTTCTCCGAGTCGCCGTCAATGTCGGACTTTTCCCAAGACTCGCCCGCGCCAAACCTTCCCCGCGGCCCCCACAAGTCGGAGTTTCCACAGACCCCTCCCGCGATGTGCTCAGACCCGGCGCGGTTAAGCCGCGGCGGACTGCGCCGACACCGCCGCGTCGCATCGTCCCCGCAATCCAGCCCGTCAGAGTTGGAAGGAAATCTCGACGGCAACGCGGAGCGAGAAGGAACGCAGCGCATCGTAACGCCCAAGATCGATGGTCGAAATGCCGTGCGGTCCCGCCACAACCGCCGTTCCACCGTCGGCGGCGAGGCCGGCAGCGGAAGCACCGAGACGGGCAGCAGCGGGGGAAACGGCGGGCATTGCGGCGACTTGTACGGCAGACAAGAGCTGGTACGCCTGGTCCCAGCGGGCCAAATCACAGCCGTCTCGGGGTTTTCGCCCAAGTCTCCCTCGGTTTTGTCACTCTCGAGAAAGTCACCGCTGCCCAAGTCACCTTCGTCTCAGCCCTTGCCTCGGCCCGGGGCATCGCCGCCGCGTCGCACTTCCTATTCGAGCGACGCCATCCCGCTACAACGCGGCGGCTGTAGCGCGGAAATGCCGCTACAGCCGCCGGAGGGAGGACTACTCAGCGGAGTACCGCGCGGGTCGTCGTACGGGGCGTCGTGCGGGTCGTCGCCGGGGGCGAACAGCCCCGGCATGAACATCCAGCGGAGCCCCTTCAGCGCGGCTGGATTCCGCTCGCCGCGCGATGATGACGCGACGGCGTGTGTGGCGGAGCTATCTTCCACTCCCTGCGAGGGTGTCGCGCGGGCCCCTCCGCGATCCCCGGCGGTCGGCAGGCTCGCGGCAGCTCGAGCGTGGAATAAGATGATGGCGATGCCGCCGTTGAGCACGGAGCTGTCACAACGCCGGCGGAGCTGCCATCGCCTTCTCCGCGCGGCGTTTCTACTACTGGTACTGCCAGTGGACGTACTTTCCATCCGCTGTATCCTGAAGTTGAGGCGCCTCGACACTCGTCGGCGGAGCTGTCTCCGCACGGCGCTACTATCACTCCGCCTCAGCGATCCCCCCTTTCCCGTTCCCGACATCCCCGCTCCCCGCTTGCGCTGGCTTCTCCCCCGTCCGCGCGCGCCTTCCCCGTGGCTGGGGGAAGAGCGGTGAGCACCGAGAAGCTTCTCCGCATTAGCCGGGAGGATTGCATTGGGAGCAGCAGCAGCGCCAGCAGCGGCGGCAGCGGCAGCAACAGGAGCAGCAGCAGCAGCGACAGCAGCATTGGCAGCAACAGCAGTAGCGACAATGGCAGCACCGGCAGCGACGGCGGCAGTGGCATCAGCAGCAGGCGATTAAAACGTGGGCAGCGGGTGTCGTTGGAAGGAAGCGCCAGCGCGGAGATCATCACGGCCGCGGAAGCCGCCACAACGGCGACGGCGGCGGCGGCGGCGGCGGCGGTGGCGGGAGCGGAGGCGATCGCGAGCGCTGCGCCGGACATTCCGCTGGACCTGCTGGAGTCCGCGCGGCGGCTGATGGCGGAGTGCGAGGCGCGCGGAGTGCGCTGGGAGCTGCTGAACGCCGCGGGCGGCCTCAGCGGAAGCTCCGCGGAGGCGGATCTCGCAGCTTTGTCCCCGAACCCCGGAGCGGAAGCTCCGCGGGCGGCTCTTCGCACTGCTCCCGCTCGCGCTATTCCCGTCTCCCGCCTGCGCCGCGGACGCGTGTCCTCCTGCTCCTCTCTCCCCGTCTCCGCCGACCTAACTTCCGCGCTCCCCTCTTCTCCGCTTTCTACTTCCCCGCTTTCCCCGTCCCCGCTTTCTCCCCTTTCCGCCGCCTCTGCGCGTGTCCTCCCCGCGGCCTCCGCGAAACCCGCTCCCGCGGAAAGCCCGTCGTGGAGAGACCGTTCAGGTGCGCAAGGTAAGGAGCGTGCTCAAGATTCGCTTGCCGTTGCCGCGCAGCGGCAGCAGCAGCAGCAGAAGCAGAAGCAGCAGCAGCAGCAACGGCAGCTTGTGGGGGCCTCTAAACGAGATCGCGTGAAGCAGCTGCGCGTTTTGGGGAAGCACGGAAGCTTCGAGCAACTCTCGGGATTCTTTTCCAATGTGCTCTCCCTTTCCCGGGGCAGCAGCGGGGATGGCTCCACCAATAGCGGATGCAGCAGCCCCTGCCCGAGCAATCCGGGCAGCTTGCTGGAAAAAATATCTTGGGGGGGGAAAAGTGCCAAGCCCACGGATTTCGTGCTCAGGATGCCCTACGAGGATATCAAGGCTCGATATTCGCTAGGGAAGAAGGAGATTGGTGAGGGCAGGTTCGGTTCCATCCGAACCGAACCTGCCTAGAACGGAGCTCCGGCAACTTCTACGCCTGCAAGACAATTTCCAAGAAGATTATTGAGGTGATTAGAGCTATTATTGTGTACACCATTTTCATCATACCCACTCCTGCCAATGCCTTGCAGTCCCTTTCCCACCCCCCATCCCATCCCCTCTAAATTACCTGTTCCCTCTAATGCATCTTTTAGAACGCAGAATGCCTCCTTGTCTGGTTGATCTCCCAACTTTTTTCCTTAATCTCCACTTTTTTTTTGCAGACCCACGAGGAAGCAGAGGACGTACGGCGTGAGGTGCTGTTCCTTGCAACGCTGAAAGGCCACCCCTACATCGTCACACTCAAGGAAGCACTAGAGGAAAAAACGGCCATCCACCTCATCATGGAGCTCTGTCCGGGCGGCGACCTCTTCGAGAGAATCAAGTCCCGCGCCCAACTCACCGAACCCGAAGCAGCTTCAATCCTTCGGCAGCTGCTAGAAGCCCTGATCCACTCCCACTCCTTGGGAATCCTCCACCGTGACGTGAAGCCCGAAAACATCCTCCTTTGTAGCCCCTCCAGCTGCTCCTCTATAAAGCTCATCGATTTCGGAGTTGCTACAGTGCTGCCGGAGGGTGCACTCTGCAACGAGGCTGCTGGAACTCCGGAATACATGGCACCTGAAGTGTATGATGAGAAATACGGATTTGGCGCCGATGTATGGGGTGCCGGGGTTTCACTCTATGTGATGCTTTCGGGGATTCCGCCCTTTTGGGAGTCGACCAATCGGAGTTTGGAGCAGGCCATAAGGAGCAAGAAGGTTTCTTTCAAGCACTGGAAGTGGGCGGACGTGTCGGGGGAAGCGAAGGAGCTTATAACGAGGATGCTGGAGAAAGACCCGAGCAAGCGCATCACTGCCCAGGAGGCTCTAGGTGAGGGTTGGCCTTGGTCTCGGTTTTCCCATTTCCATTCTCATTATAGCTCCTTTTTTTTCCCCCTGAATGCCTTGCATGACACCCACTTTTGGAGAGATTTGGCATTGGGTTGGTCTGGATGTGCGCATCTCACCATCGCCCGTTCCCATCTGCCATTCTTTCCCTATCTCCCCCCTCCGCAGAGCATCCTTGGATCACCGAGCTTGCTCCAGCTGCAGCATGATTCGTCTGAAGCTCGCTACCTCTGCAGCACACTACCTCTGCAGCATGATTTCTCTGCAGCATGATTCCTTTGAAACTCACAAGCGCGGGCATGAAGGGAGGGCACACAATACGAGTCATGTCTGTTCCTCAGAAGCTACCATACTACAGCCAACATTCATCCCGAGTGGTGTACATGCAGTGGATGGAAACGCCAGGGTAGCTGTCCGCAAAAATGACCCACCATTCAGGGTCCCTTTTTTTATTCTGCCCGGTATATTCTGCAACCTGGGCTGCATTACCATTCGGCTGCTGCTGGTGTTCTCCCTTCTGCTGCCGATGGTGTCTTTTTTCTTTTTTCTTTTCGTGGGTGGCTGGCTGCCCACCTGGACCCACAGTAAGTTGATAGTAATTACTGGGATTGGCCAGCTCACGGCCGTAAGGCTTGTGTGGTTAGGAATAGTTTTTGGGGCCACTTGGGGATGGCTTTTTAGTGTAGCTTTTTGCCTCCCTCCAGTGGTGCTTTATCTATATTCTATATGTAACTTCCGGATGGCAATGTACCATATGTAGTAGGAAGTTGCTTTGAAATTGTTCCTTCCTTTACAATGTTGAAGCATGGTGTACCTTCCATATATGTACTTCTTGTGAGGCCTCCGCCTTTAGCCCTTAGAAATAATGCAGATATGGATGGTTAACATTACTCGTTATTTTCCAGTGGTTGACCGTACAACATCAGGCTAGCTTTATTCTGAAGAGCTGTGAAAACCTGTCGCATCTCACGACAGTATCCCATAGCAACATTCGTTTCAAAACATGGCAGTACGCGTAGCACAGTGCCCCGTGCCAGACCGTAACAAAGGCACAGCACCCCATTCCCCACCACTCGAAACCACACCATTCACAACCACACTCCAAATCCAAATTCAGCAGGCACATTCACCAAGCATGTACACACAGGAAGTGGAGGGTAGAACATAAAGGTATATGGGAACAGGTTATGCTTAGACCTGATGCTGATCAGAGGGGCAGCGCGGACAATGATGTAGCTTGGAAAGCTACGGTAATATAAAACGAGAGAAGCGGCAAGGGGGGAACTGGAAATACATTGAGTGAGCTCAGATTAATCGCATGTTGGAGTGGCAGTGCAAAAACAAGTGTAGATGAGAAGCGTGAGTGCGTAAGAGAGGAGTGAAATTGCACCTGTTGTACCAGGAAGGGAGTGACAGACCTGGTCCGCAGCACTGATAGGGGCAGACTCGTTATAGAGCAGACTCGTTATAGAGCAGACTCGTTATAGAGCATAGTCGTTATAGAGCAATCTCTACCGCACCGACTGTACTAGGGAAGGGAGTGACTGACCTGGTCAACAGCACTGATAGGAGCAGACTCGTTATAGAGCAATCTCGGCTGCACTGAGTGTAGCTCCGTCTGCATGCGCCACAGGAGGCTCATATCCAGCAGCATCACATCGAGGCGCATGGCTGTTTCGTGCACGTCCATGGGATCAATGTTGAGAGAGAAGGCACTGCAAGGGGGGTGAGTAACAGACAGTGCAGGGTGTGTGGATGGGGGGATGGAGAGGATGAACAGCTCATATTCATATCCAGCAGCATCACATCGAGATTCATAGCTGTTTCATGCACGGCCATGGGATCAATGTTGAGCAAGAAGGCACTGCAAGAAGAAGGTGGGGGGAGGGGAGAGAGGGGGTAGATGGCACGGCTTGTACTCATATCCAACAGCATCGCATCCAGGCGCATTGCTGTTTCATGCACGCCCATGGGATCAATGTTGAGCAAGAAGGCACTGCAAGAAGAAGGTGGGGGGAGGGGAGAGAGGGGGTAGATGGCACGGCTTGTACTCATATCCAACAGCATCGCATCCAGGCGCATGGCTGTTTCATGCACGCCCATGGGATCAATGTTGAGCGAGAAGGCGCTGCAGGGTGGGTGGGTAGAAGACAGTGCAATGAGTGTGTGTGTGTGGGACGTGGGGAGGAGCGGGGGGACGGCACTGAGTGCTGCTCAGTTTGCTCCCTCATTGGGGCACTGAGTGCAGTGCAGCTCGGTCTGCTCCCTCATTGGGGCACCGAGTGCAGTGCAGCTCGGTCTGCTCCCTCATTGGGGCACCGAGTGCAGTGCAGCTCGGTCTGCTCCCTCCTTGGGGCACCGAGTGCAGTGCAGCTCGGTCTGCTCCCTCATTGGGGCACCGAGTGCAGTGCAGCTCGGTCTGCTCCCTCCTTGGGGCACCGAGTGCAGTGCAGCTCGGTCTGCTCCCTCATTGGGGCACCGAGTACAGTGCAGCTCGGTCCGCTCCCTCATTGGGGCACCGAGTGCAGTGCAGCTCGGTCTGCTCCCTCATTGGGGCACTGAGTGCAGTGCAGCTCGGTCTGCTCCCTCATTGGGGCACCGAGTGCAGTGCAGCTCGGTCTGCTCCCTCATTGGGGCACCGAGTGCAGTGCAGCTCGGTCTGCTCCCTCATTGGGGCACCGAGTGCAGTGCAGCTCCGTCTGCATGCGCCACAGGAGGCTCATATCCAGCAGCATCACATCGAGCCTCATGGCTATCTCGTGGCTATCATACTCGTACACACCGTACCGTACCACTCAAGGCAGAGCCACACCATACCGTGCCACTCAAGACAGAGCCACACCATACCGTGCCACTCAAGACAGAGCCACACCATACCTGCACTGGAAAAAATGCACCCAGGGGTGGCGGTGGTGGTGAACGTAGGTGAATGGGACGCAGCAAGTATTCGTCGTTTGTACTTCAACAAACCTGAACATACCTGAACATACCTGAACATACCTGAACATACCTGAACATACCAGAACATACCAGAACATACCAGAACATACCAGAACATACCTGAACATACCTGAACATACCTGAACATACCAGAACATACCTGAAAATACCTGAACATACCTGAAGGGCAGCGAGTGCAACCAGGGGTGGCGGTAGTGGTGGAAGAAGGTGACTGGGATGCAGCCGTTGACGACAGCTTGCGCCATGCACACCATCTCGTGCCAGTGAGATGCATCTGGGAGACAAACACAGAACACTGCTCCCTGCATCGCTGCCGCGGCTGCATGGGGGGAAAGCTGGGAGCATGGGGCGGAGCAGGGATAGGCGCATAGAGGTGGGGGTGACGGGCGGAGCAAGGGTAGGTGTGCATAGAGGTGGGTTTGAGCCGTGCGCACCATCTCATGCCAGTGGGAGGCGTCGGGGAGACACACACAGAACACTGCCCCCTGCATCGCTGCCGTGGCTGCATGCGGGGGTAGCTGGGAGGAGGGAGAGGGGGAAAGGGGGGTAGAATGGGCACAAGAAGGCGACTGGGGTGCAGTTGGTGTGGTGAGTACGGCTTGAGCCGTGCACACCATCTCATGCCAGTGGGAGGCGTCCAGGAGGCACACACACAACACTGCTCCCTGCATCGCTGCTGCGGCTGCTGCATGGGGGGTGAGCTGGGAGAACAGGGGCGGGAGAGAATTGGCGAGAAATCGGCACAAGTGCGGGCGAGACTTGGCAAGAAATTGGCAAGTGTGGACAGGACTGATAAGATCAGAGGGCCAGGGCCCAACCATGTCCTTTTGAGGCGCCTCAAAAGAACGCCCCTCGCACTGCCTCCCCGTTGAAACCCTACAAGGATGTAAAGATATAGTAGGCAGCCTCACCTGCAGCACCTCGCATCTCACCTGCAGCACCTCGCATCTCACCTGCAGCACCGCGCATCTCACCTGCAGCACCGCGCATCTCACCTGCAGCACCTCGCATCTCACCTGCAGCACCTCGCATCCCCCCTGCAGCACCTCGCATCTCACCTGCAGCACCTCGCATCTCACCTGCAGCACCTCGCATCTCACCTGCAGCACCTCGCATCTCACCTGCAGCACCTCGCATCTCACCTGCAGCACCTCGCATCTCACCTGCAGCACCTCGCATCTCACCTGCAGCACCGCGCATCTCACCTGCAGCACCGCGCATCTCACCTGCAGCACCTCGCATCTCACCTGCAGCACCTCGCATCTCCCTGCAGCACCTCGCATCTCCAGCACCTCGCATCTCACCTGCAGCACCTCGCATCTCACCTGCAGCACCTCGCATCTCACCTGCAGCACCTCGCATCTCACCTGCAGCACCTCGCATCTCACCTGCAGCACCTCGCATCTCACCTGCAGCACCTCGCATCTCACCTGCAGCACCTCGCATCTCACCTGCAGCACCTCGCATCTCACCTGCAGCACCTCGCATCTCACCTGCAGCACCTCGCATCTCACCTGCAGCACCTCGCATCTCACCTGCAGCACCTCGCATCTCCCCTGCAGCACCTCGCATCTCACCTGCAGCACCTCGCATCTCACCTGCAGCACCTCGCATCTCACCTGCAGCACCTCGCATCTCACCTGCAGCACCTCGCATCTCACCTGCAGCACCTCGCATCTCACCTGCAGCACCTCGCATCTCACCTGCAGCACCTCGCATCTCACCTGCAGCACCTCGCATCTCACCTGCAGCACCTCGCATCTCACCTGCAGCACCTCGCATCTCACCTGCAGCACCTCGCATCTCACCTGCAGCATCCTCGCATCTCACCTGCAGCACCTCGCATCTCACCTGCAGCACCTCGCATCTCACCTGCAGCACCTCGCATCTCACCTGCAGCACCTCGCATCTCACCTGCAGCACCTCGCATCTCACCTGCAGCACCTCGCATCTCACCTGCAGCACCTCGCATCTCACCTGCAGCACCTCGCATCTCACCTGCAGCACCTCGCATCTCACCTGCAGCACCTCGCATCTCACCTGCAGCACCTCGCATCTCACCTGCAGCACCTCGCATCTCACCTGCAGCACCTCGCATCTCACCTGCAGCACCTCGCATCTCACCTGCAGCACCTCGCATCTCACCTGCAGCACCTCGCATCTCACCTGCAGCACCTCGCATCTCACCTGCAGCACCTCGCATCTCACCTGCAGCACCTCGCATCTCACCTGCAGCACCTCGCATCTCACCTGCAGCACCTCGCATCTCACCTGCAGCACCTCGCATCTCACCTGCAGCACCTCGCATCTCACCTGCAGCACCTCGCATCTCACCTGCAGCACCTCGCATCTCACCTGCAGCACCTCGCATCTCACCTGCAGCACCTCGCATCTCACCTGCAGCACCTCGCATCTCACCTGCAGCACCTCGCATCTCACCTGCAGCACCTCGCATCTCACCTGCAGCACCTCGCATCTCACCTGCAGCACCTCGCATCTCACCTGCAGCACCTCGCATCTCACCTGCAGCACCTCGCATCTCACCTGCAGCACCTCGCATCTCACCTGCAGCACCTCGCATCTCACCTGCAGCACCTCGCATCTCACCTGCAGCACCTCGCATCTCACCTGCAGCACCTCGCATCTCACCTGCAGCACCTCGCATCTCACCTGCAGCACCTCGCCTCTCACCTGCAGCACCTCGCATCTCACCTGCAGCACCTCGCATCTCACCTGCAGCACCTCGCATCTCACCTGCAGCACCTCGCATCTCACCTGCAGCACCTCGCATCTCACCTGCAGCACCTCGCATCTCACCTGCAGCACCTCGCCTCTCACCTGCAGCACCTCGCATCTCACCTGCAGCACCTCGCCTCTCACCTGCAAAAGGGCCCACCCCTTGGGGTTGCTCGCCCCCGCCATCTCCATCCATAAGCGCCCCTCGCACTGCCCCATGGTCAAAACCATACACGCATGGATAAAATAGGAGCTCGCACCTGCAGCAGGTCTCATCTCACCTGCAGCAGCGCTCATCTCACCTGCAGCAGCGCCCACCCCTTGGGGTTGCTCGTCCCCACCATCTCCATGAACGCCCCTCGCACTGCCTCCCGGTCAAACCCACTCCCTACTGTTCCTGCCCCCATTCTCTCATCAGGACCAATCCCCTCATCCTTTCTCCGCACATCTTCCCTCCACCCTTCAGCTTTTCCTGATTCCCCTGCTGCCGCTGCCTCCCCTGCCGCCCCTGTTTCCCCTGTTTCCCCTGCTCCGCCTGCTCCTTCCCGTGCTGCCCCTGACCCCCCTGCTGCCCCTGCTTCCCCGGCTGCCCCTCCTTCCACTTCTGCCCCTGCCACCCCATCTGCAGCTGCCACATCATCGCCTTCCCCCTCTTTCCACAGGCCGTGCTGATCCCAATAACCACCACCACCACCACCACCACCACCACCACCACCACCACCACCACCACCACCACCACCACCACCACCACCACCACCACCACCACCACCACCACCACCACCACCACCACCACCACCACCACCACCACCACCACCACCACCACCACCACCACCACCACCACCACCACCACCACCACCACCACTGCCATGGCCATCGCCACTTGATCGTCGAGTCGATTTTCGGGTCAATTCCTGACTCGATTCAACTATAGCTTCCCCCGCTTTCCAGAGACCATCACGATCCCAATCACCACCACCGCCATTGCCGCCGTCACCCGCTTGCCTAGTCACGCTTTCACCCAATAGGCGCCTGGTTAGCCCCTCAGTCCCATCAAGGTCCGTGGGTGTGTGCTTGGCATGCGCAAGAGAGGTGGGGTCCGGGTTGGGGATATCCTTGGCAGGAGGAGGAGAGGCGAGAGGGGCGGAGAGGGGTGGAGAGTGGTGAGGAGGGGCGAGGAGGGGTGGAGAGCGGTGAGGAGGGCCGAGGAGAACAAGCACGGGGAGGGAGCGGCTGCGGGCATCAGGGGGGATGGGTGGTGTGAGCGGGAGGAGAGGCGGGATGACCACGTCGTTACCGGGTGAGGCGCAATGCATATCCTGTGCTGGCGGGCAGGTGAAGAGGAATGGGACGGGGAAGAGAGAGGAGATCGAAGGGCGGCGTGAGCGGGAGGAGAGGCGGGATGACCAGGTCGTTACCGGGTGAGGCGCAATGCATATCCTGTGCTGGCGGGCAGGTGAAGAGGAATGGGACGGGGAAGAGAGAGGAGATCGAAGGGCGGCGTGAGCGGGAGGAGAGGCGGGATGACCACGTCGTTACCGGGTGAGGCGCAATGCATATCCTGTGCTGGCGGGCAGGTGAAGAGGAATGGGACGGGGAAGAGAGAGGAGATCGAAGGGCGGCGTGAGCTGGAGGAGAGGCGGGATGACCACGTCGTTACCGGGTGAGGCGCAATGCATATCCTGTGCTGGCGGGCAGGTGAAGAGGAATGGGACGGGGAAGAGAGAGGAGATCGAAGGGCGGCGTGAGCGGGAGGAGAGGCGGGATGACCAGGTCGTTACCGGGTGAGGCGCAATGCATATCCTGTGCTGGCGGGCAGGTGAAGAGGAATGGGACGGGGAAGAGAGAGGAGATCGAAGGGCGGCGTGAGCGGGAGGAGAGGCGGGATGACCAGGTCGTTACCGGGTGAGGCGCAATGCATATCCTGTGCTGGCGGGCAGGGAGAAAGGTAGAGGGAGAGCTAGGGATTTGGAAAGAGGTTAAGAGGGAGCGGTTGCGGGCGTCGGGGGGGATGGGCGGCGTGAGCGGGAGGAGAGGCGGGATGACCATGTCGTTACCAGGTGAGGCGCAGTGCATTCCCTGTCCTGGCGGGCAGGGAGCAAGAGGAGACAGGAAGAGGGTAACTGGGGGTGATGTGGTGTGGAGGTAGGGAGAGTGGGGATGGGCGGTGTGAGGGGGAGGAGAGGCGGGATGAATGGCCACATCACTACCACGTGAGGCACAGTGCATTCCCTGTGCTGGCGGGCAGGTGAAGGGGGAGATGGCAAGAGGGGGAAATGGTGGGGAGTGTGAGTGGGAGGAGATGTACAGCCCTCAAAGTGGGTACCCCCGTACTCCTGGAGAGTGGAGGAGTGGTTGGAGAGCCTAGAGGGACTGAGGAGGAAAGGCATGGGGAGGGAGCGGTTGCGCACGTCCGGGAGGGGATGGGCGGTGTGAGGGGGAGGAGAGGCAGGATGGCCACTTCAAGGGTGTGTGACAGGCCTAGGACGACAAGCATCATCCCCACTCCCCTTCGTACCATAACACAATAGTGAGAAATGCAGCAAAATCATCACTCACTCATTCACTGCATACCATCACCACTCACTCACTCACCTCGTACCACCACCACCCACTCACCTCATCAATCTCTAAAGCAATAAGCTGCTTCTTCCCACTCAGCCTCCCAAAACGTCCCTCCGCCTCCCCTGTCCCCAAACCCACACTCTCTCCATCCCACCCTTTCTTCCCTCTCCCCCCTCCTCCTCCCCCAGTCTCTGCCACCTCCCCACCCCCCCTTCTCCTCTCCTTCTTGCTCATCTGCTGCAACTGCAATTTCTGCTGCCTTATCCCCACACGCCCCTTCCCATCTCCTACCCCCACCCCCTCCTGCTGCTCCTGCTGCCGCTTCTTCCCTGCCAGAGCAGCTTTCAACCGACCGGCAGCAGTTGTCTGTTTGCTGCCGGCCGCTGCTCTCCTTCTGGCAGCGGCGGCGGCGGCGGCAGTGGGGGTGAGGTGGAGGACTGAGCGGAAGAGCAGGTCGGGGTAGGAGGAGGGCTGGAGGGTGAATAGAGAGCCGAGGAGAGAGGGGTTGACGAAAGGGAGGATGCTGCCAGGGGAGGGTGAGCAGGGGAGGGGGGCAGGGGAGGGGGGAAGAGGAGGGGGGCAGGGGAGGGGGGCAGGGGAGGGGGGCAGGGAGGGAAAGAAAAGGAGGGATGAAAGGAGGGTGTTGTGAGTGAGAGGAAGAGCAGGTCGGGGTAGGAGGAGGGTTGGCCGGTGAAAGGAGAGCCAAGGACAGAGGGGTTCATAAAGGGGGGGATGCTGACAGGGGGTTTCGGTTAAAAAAAAAAAGAGATGGGGAAAGAAAGGAAAAATGTGAATTGGGACAGGTTTTAAGGTCTAAATTTTGGGGTTTAGCCAAAGTTACCGACTATTCCTGGAGATTTTATCGACAGTTACTAAGTAACCCCATAATCGGCCCAACGCTTACCCACATCGGCCGAACGGGTCTGACTCGATGATAAAGTGATCTCTGTCCCCACTGGGACTTCTGAGGCGCCTCAAAGGTCACCTCGAGATTTGATTGGCGGTTACCAGGTAACTTTTGAGTTTGCCCACAACACTTACCCACATCCGCCAAATGGGTGTGATGCGATCATGAAGTGATCGCTGCCCCCACTGCGACCTTTGAGGCGTCTCAAAGGCTGCCAGTTACCAGGTAACCCCCGAGTCAACCCGTGACACGACACTTACCCGCATCGGCCGTACGGGTGTGATGCGATGATAAAGTGGTCGCTGCCCCCACTGCGTCGCCAGTAGGGGTATTGTGACTGTAGTGACGAGGCACAGGGGCATACGCACATAGAAAATAATGTAATTACTTGCAGATAGAACGGCACAGAAACAGGCGCAAAGGGTGCATGCAAGAAGGCACATCAAGAAATCATCAAGTGCACGCTTCTGACTGACATGCAGCTTGTTGTAAACGAGCAAGAACGTGAAATTACACACACACATGCACGCAACAAATAGAGCAGGCCAAACGAGCACAAACGCAAGCACTTGAGTATTGCAGCTCCTCCCCCTCTCACCTGCACAAACAATAACGCCTCCCCCACATAACGCCCAGTATCTGCCAGCGCCTCCCAATGCTCTAACGACAGCTCAAGCCCATTCCCCCCTGCTCTCCCTCCCCCTGCTCCTCCTCCCCCTGCTCCCCCTCCCCCTGCTCCTCCTCCCCCTGCTCTCCCTCCCCCTGCTGCCCCTCTCCCTGCTGCCCCTCCCCCTGCTGCCGCAGCAGCGAGCGCAAGGGAGGGGGCTTCCAGAGAGGGCAGGCGCAGGGCGAGGTGCAGCATGGGCAGCACGGGGAGGAAGAAGAGGGAAGCGGCCTCGGGGTCCACTGTGCGGTGTATGTTGGAGCGCTGCAGTGCCCTGGAAAGGTGGGAGGGGAACAGGGAAGGACGAGGGGGATGCAGCGTAGGAATGATGAGGGGGATGGGGAGGCGGCACGCGGAGGAAGAAGAGGGAAGCGGCCTCAGGGTCCACTGTGCGGTGTATGTTGGAGCGCTGCAGTGCCATGAGAGAGGGAGAGGGGAGAGGAGAGGTGGAATTGAGATGAGGAGAGGAGGCGAGATGGAGTGGCACGAATAGGGGGCTGTGTTATAGGCATGAAATGAGAACAGAGGCACAGACCTGAACAGTAGGGTGCCTAGATGGAAGCCAAAGAGGTGGTGTGAGGTGAGGCAGTCAGAGAGGTTAACGTTGAACCGTATGAACGTCTATGCAGGCAGGGTATAGACGTGATTCAGGAGGGGTTCGACTTGAAGAGAAGCTCTTACCTGAATAGGAGGTTGTCTAGATGGAAATCGGAGAGGTGGTGTGAGGTGAGGCGGTCAGAGAGGTCAACGTTGAACCGTCTGGGGAGCTCGTAGACGTAGATGAAGTGTGACTGCACGCTCTTGGGCTCGGCCCACCAGCAGTTGGCCGCTGAGAGGAGGGGAGAATGAGGAATGATGGAAGGGAGGCAAGGGGGGGTTGGGGGGAATGGGGGGTCTGAGGAACAACAGTGTGTTGAAGAGTCTGGGGAGCTCGTAGCCGTATATGTAGTGCGACTGCACGCTCTTGGGCTCGGCCCACCAGCAGTTGGCCGCTGAGAGGACGGAGAATGAGAAGCCAAGGCAGGGGGAAGCGAAGGTGGGTAGTGTGTGGGAGAGGGCTCCAGAGCATTCATGCCTTTTGAGACATCCGATTTTGAATCAGACTCAGGAAATGAAGCACAGGAGAGGGAAGTGAAGCGAGGAGAAAGAATGAATGACTGAGGGGAGGAACAATGGAGCGGAGGGGATTGAGCGGGGAGGGATGACGTGCAGGCCGGGAATCAGGGAATCGCTGAGTGAAGTGGATCAGGAAATGGACATGGATGGGAGGATGAGAATATTCTAGGTCGGCATTAGCCTCCGGTCTACAAATGGGTGGCATACCAGAGACTAGCGGTAGGCGATCGCATCCCCATGAACTGTCCCACACGAACAGGTGAATCGCGTAAAGCAGGAGAAATGTAGCAAAGAATGCGATGACTAGATTTCGCCACGACAGCCATCGTATTCTCCAGATCAGATTTCGCGCGAATCTCAACACGCGAACGCTTGTGGTAACCCGCTCGTTGTTTTGCGACGCATGAGGTTCCGCGAGATCGAGTTGCGAAAGTGGAAGCCTCCGCTGACGCAGCCTTGATCGTAGAAACTCCATGCCACCATCTTCTACTGCATCGATTCAAAAGAATTTACATAGCGAACGCGGACATTGCTGCTCCATTTGACAAGCATGCCCCTCTTCAGACCAGATGCCAGCATAGGGATTGGATTTAGCGGTCTGCGAGATTGGTGGTTGGGTCTAATTCGCATGCTTTCGTCTTGTCGGAACCATTCTAGGTGTGTCTGACTTCGGGGTCGGCGAAAGTCGACGAAACGCGACGAAACTCGACGTCGCACACGCCGTCTATAGAAAACGTTGGGCAACACAAACCTGTTCGATCAACAGTCCAACGTCGAAAACTGTTCCAGCTCTCCACCGTTGTGGACCGTGTCAGACCAGACGAAACTGCTCTTTGGAGGTAATAGGAGCGCGTTGGACTGGACGGACCAATCCCTGGGGTGGTGTATTGCGGCAAACGCGCGGGAAGCAAAAGTGGTTCCCTGTCAGGTCGCTCATGCGACAGGCATCACTCCCGTCGCGAGTTTCACCCAAACCAAGGCATCTGAAATTCACGGTTCGAGCAACTAGAGATCCATTCTCTAGGCTTCTTGAGATCCGCATTTTCCACTCACCCCCCAGCAACCCAGCTCAACAAGCCCAGGTAGGACCTCTTTCTTCCTCCGTTTCTCGGTTTCTCCATTTTCATCATTTTCCTTCATTTTCTGCCTGTTCCTGGTTCGAGTGAGCCTCCAATTTTCCCGTTTCTGTAGGAGGCCCACAATCTTTGAGCTGAGTCGTCTCTGGTTATGGACGCCTTTACCGTTCGCGCGCACGGCGTCTTTACCGGCTCACTGTTTTTAACGGCTTCCATTCCGACAAAAAACAATACTTAAGCGCATCTCGGCTTCTCCGAGTTTTGCACTCACAGTTTTGAGGGTCTGGATCTCTTCTTCTGAGAAGCCGCCATTACTCCGGGCAGCATCTGTGTGTCATAATTCGTCTTTCGCTGGTCAGAATTCGAAGAAATTCCTTTACAGGCTATCGCACCGGATGACCTTACGACAATGGCATAGCTGTAGCAGCTGACTGCGCGACGCTGACTGCAGCTGTTCAGTGCAGCAATCGCGTGTACTCTCATCGTCAGAACCTTAACTTGTACATTTTCGCGTGAATGATGCTTAAGCCTATCAAAAATGAGTCCGGGAGGATATGAGGAGCCCTGATTGGGTGAACTGACTTGACCGTCCACCGTCTCACTTGACCATTTACCATCTCACGATCCAACCACCTCACATGACCGCTCACCGTCTCACTTGACAGCAGACCCTTCGTCCACAACTCCTCAGCCTTCAAAAGAACGTCGCGTGCGATCCATCGCGCGCATCTCGGCCGTCCATCTCCACCGGTGAATTCCCACCTCCTTGCCTGTGCGCCACCATGCTTCTTGTCTCGTGGCTCAACTCGCTGCGACGATGCTTCAGCACGCCGTTCCTCATCCTCGTCTTCAGCATCTACTGGGCACAGTTGATATGTTGCAAGGGCTACGAGACGAGTACTGACTGGTTTTGACGCATTTTGACCATGTTATGACAGATTTTGACCAAGATTTACGGTTTTTGACAGCTTTCACCGAGGTTTTACGGGTTGTATGGCTATGAGACATCTCTTAAGCGGCTTCTTCTCACTTACCACTTCGCCGTTTTTCACCCCTTCTCCACTCATTCGCATCCCCTTCTCCTAGACGGCCATCAGCGTTCTGTTGAAGGTGCATCTTAAGTCGGTCCTTCTTTTGCTCATGCCTCATTCCCTCCCTTCACCCCTCCACCGTGCTTCACCGCTCCCCCACTCACTCATACCTCTCAGGGCTTCCGCGCGTTTCCCTGGACTGAAAGCGGCTTCTTGGTAAAGGACCATCTGAAGCAGGACCTGCACGTGCCCGTGCCATCACATTCTCACTCTTCAGGTTTCAGAGCGTTCCCCTGGACGGGCATCAGCATTCTGGTGAAGGACCATCTGAAGCTGGGCCCAGCAGCAGCGCAGCTCATGACCTCCACTGCCTACATGCCGTGGAGCGTGAAGCCATTATATGGGTGAGTGTAGGTAGGGCCCCACATGAGTGAGTGTGGATGTGAAGGTCTTGAACACTCCTGACTGAACTCAGCAGCGCAGCTCATGACCTTCATTACCTGCATGCCGTGGAGCATGAAGAGGTTGTTCAGGTGAGTGTTGGGCCCCTCATAGGTGGATATAGGGCCCCTCGTGGGTGAGTGTAAGCGCTCTATATCGACCCAAGCGCAGCTCATGACCTCATGAGCGTTGAAGCCCTTCACAGGTGAGTGTGCACATCAGCATGAGATGGATTTCAAGGTGTCTTATGTATATATATACACACACACACATATATAGTATATATATATATGTATATATCTACATTCATATCTACATACATATATGTGAGTGTCAGTGCGAAACAGTTTTGTGGCTGGATGCACTCGTTTCATCCTCCTCACTTGACCCTCCCTTTCACCTAACTCAGTGCCCCTAATCTCTTGAGCTCCGCCGCCCCTCACGCCCTTCACTCCCCCTCTGCAGAATCTTATCTTATTTGCGCCTATAGGGGGCGGCCGGCGCATCCCCTAGATCATCATCGCCAACACTCTTCTCATCACTACCCCGCTTCCTGTGCCTGCCCCCTCCGTTCATCCCCGCTAAGGAGGGCCTTATCTGACTGTGTGCCTATAAGGGGCACCCCGAGGTTCTCGCCTAGCAAGGCTCTTCACAATATCAGTGCTAGGCTTCATCAATTGCTCAGTAGTTGTAAGCAGTTTCTCGTCATCTAATTCCTCGCACTCTATCCGCTTACAACCCGTAAGAGGTACTGTTTTGAACAGATTATTATCTTACTTTACTAAGGGAAAAAGACAACTCCTAAGCATTCACAATCTGCCCTGTGCAGCAAGAGCTTCCCCATGCTTAGCAATCACAACTGGCTTGAGCAGCTTCATGAGCCTAACAGCCTCCTAAGCCTCTAACTCACCCTCACCATACCTCTCCTGCAGCTCCTTCACACGGGATTTCAACCCTGCAACCTTCCTTGCCGCCTTCTCCCTTTCCACCATCGCAACTTGCAACTCTTGCCTTCTCGTCAAGACCAACGTCTCAGCTTTCTTCACCTTCCTGCTCATTGCTCCTGCCACTCTCCCTGCCTGGGCCTTCACTACTTCAGCCTCCTCCCGCTGCATCCTTGCTCCCAAGGTCCGAGCCGCAGACTCAGCACTCATGGCGAGGCGCATATCTTCATTTGCTTCACTCAGAATCCTCGTCTGTTCGTCGGCCATCTCCCGTGCGTCCGCCAGCTTAGCTTCTGCCTGTGCCAGGTCTTTTTCGCCTTCCTTCACCTGGAAAACCGCAAATTCCGCATCGCCCTCCGCATTATCCAGCTCTTCACGCGCCCTCTTCAGCTTCCGGAAGCCCTCTGACCCCCGAGCCTCAGCTATGGAAGATTTCCAAGCCTGGACTTCGGCTCGGAGGCTCTCCAGCAATCCCCGAGCCACCACCTCCTCTGCGTCTGCTGCTGCAATCTTGTACACAGCTTCGGTCGACTTGTGCAAGCCTAGACTCTTCTGCTGCGAACTCTTGTCTTGAGAACCGTGTGCAGCATCCATCACTTCGACATGGGGCGCTTCGATTTCCGTGAGATAAAGGTCGTCTTTGTCACTCCAGAATGGCACCCCACGAACCTTTTCTGGTCCGTTCGATGGAGGTCCGTTGGAATTCCCGTTGTTTAAAGAGCCAGTGAGCAGAGGTGACAACGACGCGCCATGATTGGCCTGTCTTTTTTTATTGCTCTCATCATCATTCTCTGTGACATCTGCGACGGAACCCAATGCAACTGGCGGCGCGCCACGGGTTTCATCTCGGCTTGTTGAGGATGGCGATTGGACGATTCCGAGAATGGCACGTTCAGATTCAGGAAAGGATCTCATTGCACGTTTAAATACTGCAAGATAATCTCGCAACGTCGCGTTAGTAATCTTCTCCGCTTCCATTGCCTGTGGGAGCCGCTGCTCACAGGCTTTAAGTATCTCGTCGCGACACGTCACTATGATGCTGTACGACGCCACTTTGTCGCGCAGTCGCAGAACCTTCCGTGCGAGTCTCGCAGCAAGTCGCTCTGCGACGAGTTTCGCCTCGCCCGCTGTTACCAGCGACAGCCGGACGTCCTCCGACTCTTGCTCGTACATGCGCTTCGCGGTTTTTTCGACTATCGCGGAAAGCTCGTCGACGACTTTCCGTTGCTCCTTCAGTCGCGCTGACGTCACGTTGAGCTTCCCCCGCGCGCCCACCGCCTCCTGGATCTTCCCGTTTGCATCGGCGATGCTATCTTTGAGCGACCGGAATTCGCGGAGAAGCACGAGCGTCTGCTGTGTCGCTTCCACGGCCCGCGCTTTCCGCGTGACCAGCTCAGACAGGAGTCCGGCCTGTACTGTCCTGTCCTTGCCGAAACTTGATAATCCGTCTGCAGCGACGGCGCTGGTAGTTCTTGTCATTGTCATCGTAGTTTGGATTTTGTTAGACGCTCCGTTTGAGGTCGAAATCACATTTTCACGTGTTTGACAGGACGCAGGTGCGAAATGGAAAACAGCGGCGAGGGTAAGAATTAGTACCATGATGGTAAGTGGTTGTTTGCTGACGCCCCCGCAAAAATGTTGTCGGTGCGACACGTCCATCCTTCCAAGAAGTAATTTTGGAAGTGAATGCGCTGTACCATGTGTCGACATAGCTAGGAAGTAGACCACTACTAGCTCGAAAAGAGAGTTCCTTACGTAGAACGGGATCTGCTAGCTTTTGGGAGGTGGTGTCTGTCGAGAAAGAAATTCCCTTCCAGGAGAGGACGCTTCGATTTTTCCTTTAACGAAGCGCATAGCCCGTCTCCAGCGAGGTCGTACTGTTCTTTACCACAGTACATCCTGGGCGGCTGGAGTGACACCGAGTTACCCGAACCAAACCCATGTGGTCGGTGGGAAGGTTCGACTCGGGGAAGGAACAGAGTTGCGGGGCATCCCGCGGGTGGGAGTGGAGTGGAGGAGAGGGGGAGTGAGCAACAGGGAAGTGCTGGAAGAAGATGGTTGGAGTGTGGGAACCATATGGGTGGAAGTTGTAGGCCTTGGGGGCAGTAGAAACGAAATGTTCCATGTCCGGGTAGAAATGCCCGCGACATTTTGTCATTTTTTGGGGAAGCTTCTGTATCGGCTGGATGGAGAAACGACTAGCTCCATGTTCTAGCAAAGTGATGGAAGAACATCGTCATGCCAGAGAGGAAAAGCATGTTTCAAGAGGAGTCTTTTGGCTTTTGGGGGGAAGGGCTTTTAGCGAACAGCTGTCATTGACCTCTGTATTTGGAAGTTCTCAACAGAACACTGTCCTCGCAACTGTTATGAGTTGGGAATGAAGATTGAGTATAATTCAATTTTGCAAAATTAATTACAACTACTCATGAATTAATGAATCATAGCGTAAGGCTAGCTAGGTGGGTCCGCAGGCTCGCGAAAGCTAGGCTAGCTAAACCCGAAGGCGAGGTCGTCGGACCGAGCCTGGCCTTCCAAAATACGAATTTGTACGCGTATGAAGTGACCAAGGAAAGAGGAATTTTGGATCTCGATTGTTAATGATCGTCGAAGGTGTTACGAATAGTAAAATGAAGTGTTACTGTGCATTCCTGCCTCTAGCAAGAGCCAAGAACTCATAAGAGAGTATCAAGGCGAAGGGTCGAAGCGATGCGCACGGTTACGAAGCATATAGACCGTCGGAGCAAACAACATTGGGCAGCTGCATGAGCGATGAATTTGGCGATAATAGTTTCGTAGCTGTACGCGCCGCACGATTGGGTTTGAATCCGAATAAGGGAAGGAAATGTACCCCTTGTTACAATCCTAAAACAGAGTTAGTCAGGGATCGGCTCATGGTTGTTTGCAGGTGGTGTTGCAGCGGAAGTATTCACTGCATATTAGAGTGAATGTAAAATGACATAGATGATTAAAACATGTACAAATCGAGTTTATATAGGAAATACAAGGAATACGAAAAGACATGGACTAGCCATGTACTCTAAGGGGTACATTCCGTGCGGCGCGAGAACCCGTTTCAAGCATGTTCCCGCTCTTTTCAGTTCAAATGTTTCCGCCTGCATCGGTCCAGATCTGACGGTTGCTGGTGTCGCTTCGACTCTTCCAGCTCCTCAACTTCGTAATCGGTAGAGTCGGCTCCTGAAGCGTACATGAATGCCTTCTCATAAAGCTTCAAATCTCAACACCCCCCTTCATTCCTGGCGTGCTGAGGTCTGACTCGTTCGACCACTCCGGTGAGGTTGGAGCAGTGCTGGTACTGCTGACGTGGCAGCCGCTTAGTGAGAAAGTAAGCTGCCATTCTGGTGGTAGGGCAGTACGCGAGATAAACCTTGCCTTGGTCAATTTCGACCTTGACGAAGAAGTACCGAAGTGCGACGTGCTTCGTGCGGTTGACGAACCATGGCTTGTTCGCGATCTTGATGGCGCTATAGTTGTCGCAGTGGAGGCAAATAGTGGGCGAAGTGGGAATTTTCGCCTCCTGCAGCAGCTCTTGCAAGTAGAGCCATTCGCGAACTGCAACTGTTGCGGCGATGTACTCTGCTTCAGCTGATGATAGATCAACCAACTCTTGCTTCTGCGACTTACAGGAGATTGTCCCGTTGATTCCAGGCGAAAGATAAAGCCGGTTTGTGACCGTCGATTGGCAGGGTCAGCGGCGTGATCTGCTTCCACATAGCCGGTAAGATTGAATGATGTTATTGCCAGCGTGGACTAGGAGAGCCCGATGTCAGGCGTGGAGACGAATTATTGTAGGGCAAGCTCAAGGTCGAGCAGATTCTCTGTTACTGGCTTACGGAAATACTGTGCCAGTTGGCTGGCGATGTACAAAAGGTCGGGTCGGAAGGTGACAGAGGCGAATGGCAGGCACCCCAGTTGCCGCTGGTACAGTTGGAGTCCTTCGGGCGACAAAGATTTGTTGTTCGGTTTGTAGTTGGTGCTGGGCGTGCGGTAAGGAGTAGAGAGAGGAGCTGGCGAGATTTTGAAGCGTTCTCTTAGCTATTCTTCTTACTTGGAGGCTGACAGATGAAGTGGTACTGGTGCATAGGTGATGTTTAGCCCCTGGAACTGTGTGACTTTGTCCAGGAGACACGTCAACGTTCTGCGCCAAGTTTTCTTCGAACTGGTTGAGAAGCTTGTTGCAAGTCCCGGTGTACAACAGGTCGTCGACGTAGACTATCAAAAGAATGTAGTCGCGTGTTGAAGTGGAGGCGGTACATTCCCGGGTCGTGTGGGAGCTGGCTGAAGCCTACTTCGAGAAGTATTTTGTGCAGGTGCTGCAGCCAGAATCGCGACGCCTGCTTGATCCCATAAAGGGATTTCTTCTGCTCCTCGTAGGTGTGCGGTTGTTTCACGAAGATGGTCTCATCAACCAACGTGTATAAGAACGCATTTTTAACGTCGATCTGCAGCAGTGGTAGGTGCTTAGCGGACGCGATAGCGAGCAGAATCCGCACAAATGTGTGGCAACTGACGAGGGCGAAGCTCTGGTCGAAATCGATGCAGTGACGTTGGTCGTACCCGCGTACGACCCACCTGGCTTTCCATCAGCAACAGTCTTGAGACGAAAGTCCCATTTTCCGCTCAGCACCCTCCTCCCCTTCACGGCTGCACAACCGACTAAAACCCATGTATCGCGCGACTCCAGTGCTTTCAGCTCCGCATCCATAGCTGCACACCACTCCTTAGCGTGTGGACCCGTAAGGGCTTGTCACGGGTTCTTGTGTTCAGTGATGCGCGGTGCGGTAGTGATTGCTGTGTGTAGGCCGAGGAGTTGGAGGTCGTTGACGTTGGACGTGCCTTCGGCTTCCTGAGTGGTGACTTCAACCACGTTGTCGTCATCGCTCTTGTGAGCAGGTGTTGAACTGCTCGGGGGAGCATGGAGACGTGATGATCCAGGCGCGGGAGCGTCATCGTCGTCATCATCATCGTCGTCGCGTGGACGAGGAGGTACGCCGGGATGTTTGTCGGCGGGATCACGGTTAAAATTTGCTGCAGCGGCCTCATCTTCTGGCGAGGCGAAGCTTGACCGTTGTTGGCGTAGCCTGTGCAACGTTTCTGCGCTGATCTTCGATCCACTGCTCCAAGGTAAGCCACTCGTTCAAGAGAATGTCGCACGCCGGCACGATCTTGTTGGTGTCAATGTCTAGGATCAACCAGCCCTTGTATTCATAGCTGAGTCCTGGATGGACGCCCCAGCACGCGCGCTTGGTGAATTTGCCAATAGTGGCGGATGTCGGCTTGTACTGCACTGTGCACCCCCATACCCTCATAATGGAAGTGTCCCCCCTTGTCCCGGTCCACTTCATGTGTGGGGAGAGATTTCCCCTGTTCGCCGTGGTCGAGAGCAGGTTGTGAAGCCAGACGGCGTGGTTTATGGCGTAAGGCCAGTATTTCTTGGGGAGGCCAAACTGGTTCATGACGGCGCGGACTTTCGTCATGTTGGTGTGGTTGACCCGCTCGGCGACGCCTTGCTATTGGTGAGCGTAGGGGAAGGAGATGTGATGCTCAATCCCCTTCTCCGTGAGGACCGCTTGCAG